CTGAACTAGGAGTATCCCTTACCTTGAACTAGGAATATCCCTGATTATCGTGTACACTTAATATTAGATTGAATACTCTCTCACCCAAGACAAGTAAAAGACACATGATTTACTTTTTAAAAGAGTTTTATTACGTGAAAAAAGAGGAAACAGGACTACATGAGGTTAGAAAAAGGGCTATCTATCACCAACTGATCGATGTTCACTGAAAACTTGAGAAAGAAAAAAATTGTGTTAGTTGTGTTAGATTTTACTGTGATATGAATGCAAGTAAAAAAAATTCGGGGCGGGTATGAAGGTAGAGGGTTATAGAGGAAATTGTTATGAAGCGACTGAATAACAAAGTACTATACCTTTCTCTTTTCTTCACTGAAAACAGCTTTAGTTGCTTCTCTTATCGCTTTTACCATTCTCTCRTCGTCTGGTACACCAAACACTACTGTAGCGATCTCGGAACTAAAGGAAGCGAGAAAAAAAAAAGCCGCGATTATTTTAATGCAAAATTTTGCACTCGCAGTGATTAAGAAAGTAAATGACTTATCAGTGTCATAAGCTATGTGGGCACAGCCATGGCAAAGCATGTGTCCACATAATCCTTGAGCTAGAATAACCTCGGAACACTTGTTACACTCTAAAGAAATCATGTATGATACAGCTGTTAAACTGAATGACTTCAAGAAGTGGAAAGGTTAAATTTCTTATGAGCGAAGGGAAGAGAAAGAGAGTGAAGGCATAAAGAACACTTACTTTTCTCTTGCATGATGAGTTGTGCACACCAAGCGACAGTCATCGTCATCATCAGGTTTTCCCTCTCGGCCCGTCCTTGGCCTTAGGGCACAACTGCTCTGGGAAACGTCCTCTGAGCAGATGTTTGAACTTGGTTTTGTCCATCATCATTTTTCTGGCTTGCATTGGATCTATCTGGAGGAGATCCTCAACTCGCTTCCAAACTCTTGAGGTGGTCCTTTTATCGAAAAGGACCTGTTTCTGGAGGGCGTCATTCTCCATGCGACAAACATGGGCCAYGTATTTAAGATGTTGGACATGGCAATAATCCTGGATGGAACTGGATTTTGTTATATCCCGTAGTCGCTCATTTGATATTTTATATCCCCAATCCAGCYGTCCTTCCACCAAGGTAGCTGGGTCGACACCCTTTAATTTTCTTTGCTTGTTACAAGGAACATTTTTCCTTGCATAACCTCCCGATACCATACCATACAGGTTCTATTTTTCCTTGTACATTGTTTCTCCTTCATAATTTATCCAACAACGCCAAACATTGTTACGTTGGTTAATTAATTTATATTGTTTGTACATGCTTTTCTCGTTGGAAGGGAATTTTCTTTTCGGTTTTAGTTTATGTCATGGTAAAATGCGTTTAGGAGATGAGACGAATATTTTTTTTGGCTATTTAGTAAAAGTACACAAGTGATTATTGAAAATCTCCCGTTGCGCTTGTTTTTTATACTTAAACTCAAATTTATAAATGATATTTTTTCATTTTCACACAGTGAAGTTTATTTTGAAAGTCACGATAGAAGACAATGTTTAATCCGTTTACTCCCCTTCACGTGTGTGGCATATTGTAAAACATTGACTGGAATGGA